TTTACTGTGAGGGTGACAGAGCATTGGAACAGGTTGCCCAGAGAGGTGGTGGAGTCTCCTTCCCTGGAGATATTCAAAACCCGTCTGGATGTGATCCTGGGCAATATGCTCTAGAGGACCCTGGATGAGCAGGGAGGTTGGACTAGATGATCTCCAGAGGTCCCTTCCAACCTCAACCATTCTGTGATTCTGTGATTCTGTGACTCCGATTACCAAGTCAGAGGTGTTTGGGGGGACAGTATCACCTCCTGATGCAAGAGGGCACAGTCACAAAATGTGCCGGCCCTTCATTTCTGGAACTGCAATTCCAATTTGAACAGAGATTATTAGACAAAATTGGTGCATTTATTCCCTCTTTATCTTCAGTGGACATGCAATCAGACCACAAAACCACTGCAGAGTGCCTTGCGCCAAGCAGGCTCAGGTTATGGAGAAGCCAGTGCTTGGGAGAGCATAAGGTCAGGACCAGGGAACAAAGGCAGAGCTTGTGTACACAGAAAATCTCATACACCTCGATAAATTCATTTCTTTTGGTCCAGACTGACCTTATAGATTGTAATGTTTTATCAGTTTCCATCAGTGTATATATGTTTTTCTCTCTATTTTCTTTCTCACCTATTTGCTATGATTGTCACCTCAAATCTTATTTCAACTGTCTCCTTTGTGCTGTATTTGGACTTCCAGAACCAAATTTTGAAGACTAATTAGGTATGGAAGGATTTGGGTGCAAAATCTAGATGGGAGCCAGAACATTCATTAATGATGACACAGAGCTGCATAATAAATAGACTAATGAAACTTGCATGTTTTGGTTATTTATTTAAGATTATAATGTTGCATTGCCTTACTCATTCAGTGGAAAAGGAAGTATTGTTGAATAACTTCTCTGGTCTTCACTGCTCAGGAAAGTCTGTCACTTGTAACTCAGAATTAATAACTAGAATAAATGGCTAAGTAAGCCTCACTTTTCAAGATTGCGGCTATTCTGCCCAGGATAAGACCCCTGCTTAAACAAAGGGTCAAGTCCTAGACTATTTCTGATAGTTGGCAACGTGAGGATTACTTCAATTACAGTCAAATCTTAAAGTTACAGGTAGTCAACAGAAGCACTGCTGAATGAATTCGGAAAAACGGCTACAGAGCAGTTTCTTTTTTTATATCCAAGCATTTTCACATTCAGTAAGGATGAAATGAAGTTATTGAGAGAAAAAAAGAAAAGCACAACAATGTAATGCAGCTTGGGTATTATAATATCTTTTAAAGTATCTCAGTGGCAAATTTTTCTAATACTTAAGAATACCAGAAACAAAATAGACTTCTTTCTTTACTCACCAAAGTTAGGGTTGGAGAGCTGATTCTGATTTTACATAGACGCAAATATGGAGGGATCACCCCCCAGGGATATTTTGGTGCTGCACAGCTGAGAGACATCAGAATCTGGACTAATGGCTTCAGCTTGAACTGTCCTTGTAAGTAAGGTCAGCAGGATTTGAGTTTTAATCAGGACTTTTTAGCTGTAAAATGTCAGGAAGAGCTTGCAATTCTTTTCACTAGTTAACTAGAGGCGTTTAATCTAACACATAGGTTTTATTCTGTTATATGAAAGGATTCCATGAGCTACATTTTTCTTTTTAAATTCAAATATTGCTTAAAATGGGTATTATATCTTCCAGTATTAGGAACCTAAATACCAAAGCTTTTGGCCAGGAGTAAGAAAAAAAGGATATGAAATCTATTCTTAATAGAAAATTAAACTGAAGATGCTATCTATCTGCATTGTTCCTTATAAGAGAAATGAAGAACTGCACACTGGTGTTCTACATTCTCTAAAACTGTAGTATTCTAAAAGGTTTTCTAGCTATCAGACGTGAGAAAACATTTAATCCTGATTCACTTGCTATTCTCTTCAGGGGGGATTGGACCAGGTCCTTTGTGACCAGTTCTGCTTATTTATGCCCTCAAATACCGCTTAACCTTAATGCACTGCATGATTAGAGGAGAACCAGGAATTTGGCTCAGACTTCTGTAAATTCTTACTGGACTTTATATTAGTTTAATCCTTTATTTCTCCAGCTACCTAATATAAAGCATCTTTTCACTGTCATTAAAGATCATCTAGTTTCCTGGTTTCATATCCTTCTCACTGCTATTACAGTTCTCCTTGAAGTCTCCTTTCTATTCACAATGAAGACTCATAGCATTTCATTGAGAAAAATGAGGAGTTATACGTTTTCTATTTCCCTAATCAAGAGCCTGTCATTATCATCACTGAATGCCAGAAAAGATGTGAAGAGTAACAGAATTACGTGAAAGGTAAAAAGGACATTGCCAAAGTGATTTTTGTGGCCTTAGTCGCTTATAATAATACACTGGAAAGTTGGCATGGCAATCTAATTGCATGATAAAACCTGTTGTGTAAACACAGTTATTAGTTGCGTTATATATTGCTGATACTCAATTGCTTCAGTCACAATTGAGCATAATATGAACACAGATTTGGCAAGGTCTCCGATCGTTATCGTGGAATTGTTCATACAAATTGTCAGTATGGTGATTTTCAATTTAATTTGATCTTTTCGAAACAGAAAACTGGAGTGATTCAATTCTAGAGGAAAAAATAGCCTAGAAGAAAAATCACATGCATTTTGAAAACAGATAGAAGAAAGCAAAAGGAGGATACATTTTGATTCTATCACTTTTGACAGTGTCCTTTTAACAGGAAGACTACATTAAATTCTAAGGGCCAAATGCTCCTCTCATTTATATCACAATAGTTCCAGAGTAGTTCTACCAACTTTGATAGAATTATTCCAGATTTATATAAACATTAACAGCAGCAGAACTTGACCTCTCAAGCATACCTGTTTCACAATATAGGAATACATTTTAACATGTGAGGTTTAAAAGAAAATAGTTTGTTTTGCTATTCCATTAAACTAGATCTGCATTTTCACAGAGAAAGGCTTATATTGATTCCTCATTTGGTCTCAGATAAGCTACATTCAGAAAATAGGTCTGAAGAGAATAAGACAGAAAGCTTAAAACAATGTTTGAATTAAGAATGTGTTCAGTAGACACTCTTGATTTCTTGAATTCTTCCAATGCCACCAATTTCTGAAACCTGTACTTCACATAAACGGAGGAAAACAGGGCATGGAAAATTGATTTGAAGACCAAATGAAATTTCGCCTGCAGTGGTCTGTCTGAGGAACAGAAGGAAGGGGAAGAAGGAAGGCTGAGATTGGTGCAATTCAAAGAACAATGATTTTAACCGACAGCCCAAAGAAAGAGTGAGAGATCTTCGAGCAGAAGGTATGCTGGCCATGTCACTCTCCCACTCTGGGGACACTCTGTCCCTAGATATTTCCACTTCCTGCATGTTATGTCTATGCTTCTCGCGGTTTCATTGTTACTACTGCTAGTTTTACCTATCCACACTTGTCTCTGCCAGTCTGTTATTCATAATTGCTAGGGCTCCAACTCCACCAGAGAATCCATTTTGCTTTGAATTAGAGCTCATTTGCCTTGGATAGCCATTGGCAGTTTCTGACAGCTGTTTCTGCATGATGGCGAGTGAAACTTTGTTGGAGGCCAGGAAGTCTTTCATCGAGATCATCTCGCCTGACAGCCGGCGCCCATCTGTGTCGCTCTCATTGACAACGTCAGTCTCGATGGAGATGTTCCTCCGGCTGCGCACATTTCCCGGCATTACCACATTCCTCCGTGACCTAAATAATTTTCTTTGGCATCTATGGCAGCACCTGCAGTCCAGCTTCTTTAATATCCAATTTATGGATTGTTTGATGACAATAGAGATCACGTTAAATAAGGAATAGATACAGCAAACCCCCATGAGTATGAAGACAAAATTACCGAAGCGGTACAGGCCTTGGCTCTCGTACTGGACGTTTTGGCTACTGACCAGATCACCGAAACCAATGGTGCTGAAGGCCACGAAGCAAAAGTAAAGTGAGTCAAAGTAACTCCACCCTTCAATCGGCGTGTACATTGCAGAGGCACAGCAGGAAATGATGAGCGATGCTACACACAAAATGAGCATGACGTAGTACACAGAAGGCTTCCAGCCGGCCAAGCTGTCCACCTCGGAGCCCCCCGAGCCCCGCCGGCCATCGTGAGGAAGGACCCCTTTCCTCCTCAGCTGTCTTTCGTGGCAGGATTTCATGACATAAGCTATAACCGTGATCAACCGCTCCAGGAACAGGTTAAAGAATAAAATGGTCCCTGCACATCCTATAAGGCCATAAAAGATCAGAAAAATTTTGCCTCCAACAGTGGCTGGGGTGGTCATGCCAAACCCTGGAAGACAAAACAGAATAGTTGAAAAAAAGATAAACCAATAGTTATCACATCAAAGTCTTGTCACATGCAAACCACAAGAAAAGGCAGCAAATCCCTATGGCATAGCTCAGCTCTGGAAAAAATGAGGATACTCTCCCAAACTTTTACCTATTTATGTCTCACATTGTCCCAGAGTTGGAAGTAAGGGGAAGGAAACTCACACCAGCATTTTCTCCAAAATCAGAACAAAACAAAAAGCAAAACACCCTGGAAAGGAAATATAATTTATTGAAGGCTCGCATTTTGGTCTGCTTCCTAGGCTTGCTCTACTCTTTGTGCCTTGGTTCATTTCTAGGCTTCAGCATTATTGCACTCACTACTTTCTCTCTTAGCTCTGCATCTTGGATCTGACCCAGCGGTGGCTCTTACCTCGCAGGTGGTTGGGTCCATCCCCACCAGACCTTTCCAGCCTGTGCCAAGATCTTTCTGAGGCCACTACCCTGCTGCTGTAAGTGGAAGGCCCCTACGCCAGCCCTCAGCCCAGCACCAGCACCCTGGCCTCAGCAGCCCACGCTGGCAGAGCACATCAGGGTGCAGCCCTGGTGCAGCCATCTTTCATGGGGACCCCAAAATGCATTAGAGAAGCCCCTTGTCTGACCTCGCTGTTGGCTGCATATTATTTGACCTATTTGAAATCAACATTGCTGTGGTTTTCCTTCTTTCTTATTTCTCCACGTCCCGCTCTACAGCTCAAAACTGTATTTGAGCCTTAATGCTTGCCTCCTCTAGTCTCATTCCCAGCTGTGATATTTCTCAGGTCAGGGGTGTTTCCCACCCTTCCTGGAGCCTGAAAATACTAATTTTGTTTCAGTTAAAGCTATTGATAAGACCATCTTGCTTTAATAAGGTATGACTAAAGAATAAAAGGTGAACAAGCGTGTCCCAGATATGATGGAGCAAATTGGAGTAATATGTAGGATGAATATGCTTACTGCTGTTTGAACAGGGGCCTGGAAAAGATTAAATAACTGATCGATTAAGCCAAAAGAGTCTTGCTGAGAGGACAGAAATGCCATGTTGGACAAGACACACAGTTGCTTGTTTCCCTCTGTTTGTGAGATATTAATTATGAAATAAAGAAACTAGGCTAAGGCAAATAAGGGAAATTGCATTCAAAGTGTGATACATTTCTGCTTCGAAGACAGACAAATGCACTGTGAAGAGACCGTCATGTTTCCAGCAGTGCTAAACTACACTCATTTTCCCTTCATTAGGAAACCTGCTAAGAGCAGAGCTTCATCTCTCTCGCACGCTGCTCAGTTACACGCCGGCCCTCCCAGCACGACTCCCTCCTGCCTGAGCAGCAGCTGCTCAGGAAAAAAAAACTGCAGCTTCCCGACGACACAGAGCTCAAATCTCATCAATGTTATGTGCTTGAAGAGCTGAACTGCAGCTCTGTGCCATGGGGAACAGCACAGCCTTTACAGAAATCACACACACAAAATGCTCTTTTTTTGCTGGTGTTGGTCTCGGCATAGAAATATTCCCGTTTACGTTCTACCTTCCCCTTCTTCCCTATGAACTGGTTCTCCTATAGTCCTAGTTTTGATGCTGACTTATCTTCTGTGCAGTTGTCTTATATGCAAGTCATGACCTCCACCCTGTGGACAGACACGTAAAGACCGACAGACAAGAGGGAGCCTCTCGGCAGCCGGCGGGGATGAGCAGCAAGGGGAACTGCAGCCTCCTGGGTGCCCTGTTCCTCAAAAAGGAGAAGGGCCTGCAGGCTGGTCAGAGGCAGCGGAGGGGAGCCGCAGGCCAAGGAGGAAGGCAGTGGGTGCTGGCACACCGTCCTGCCACCGCGCAAAGCACACGCTCCGGCAAGAGAAATGAAGCGATGGCAAATGCTGCACAGGCCCATGCTCATGCCTAGCGCGCGGCATGACGTGTCCAGGATGCCTCCTCCCCACCCACGACACCACTTAGGATTATGGCCAGGACCAGAGCTCACCACCTTCATTGTTTTGGCCTGTTAGGATTTGTCTCTGAGCTCAGATTTGCATGGATAAAACCCCACTAGTAAAAGGCATCCAAACAGACATACTGAAAAATGTAGGGTGAACTAAAAATTCTAAAAAAATGCAGAATAGTCTACCAGAAAGGAAGTGAGCCCTGAATCTATTCCTTGTCAGCTTTTCCTTTTCAATGCAGTTCTTCCTTTTCAATGTGGGCACAGCATTGACCTTTTGGAGAAAATGGAATATTATGTTCTTTTTCTCTTTATAAGTCTCAGTATGTAGCAATCAATACTAACATTCCCAAAGAAGCACTAAGATGGAAAACCTCAAAGTATTATAGAATAAAGATATTAATTTAACAATTTTCCTTTTGACAGTTTGTCAAAAATAAGCTATAAGCTTTTAATCCTGGAAATAGTCTTAATTCTTGAAATGTCTTGTATTTCCACATGTTGGACCTCACTGAGCCTGGTTAACTCTGATCATCTTGGTATGACACCAGGGATTAATTTGATATGTTATGTTACAGAGTAAGACTTGTCTGACAGTAGGTAAATTTGCCTTCAAAAAGAGTCTTAGGAGGTTTGAAATTATTCCCAAATTCATGTATTTGGTGAATTGTTTCTCTCAAGAAATGCAAAAGGACAAATTTGTAAAAGGCTGAAACAGGTGAAATAAAATTAAATGTTTTCCTTTGGTATTTTTGTGATAAAACTTTTCATTTCAAAATATCAGTTAGCTTTTGGTTAAAAATTGAAATAAAAAGAGGCTGAGATAAAAAGAATGGGAAAAAATGTGTGGAAAACCTTTAGAGTTTTAAAAGTTTAATAGTCTTAAAATAGAATGCAACATTTCATTAATATTCACATCAAACCAATGAAAATTGTCATTATATTTTGTCTTTCTGAAAGACCTAAAAAAAAATCTGTTCCAATATGACTTCAGGTTATTTTTTTCCTAACTTTTCCTACAAGCCATCAAACTAGAAGTGCACTGTTCATTAATGTCTGCTGAAGAAGAAAATTTTTTCAGAAATCTCATAAAAGCCCTGCAAACATTGTCTGGCAATAAACTTTTTGCCTTGTTTTTCCTCCTTTTTCACCCCCAAAATTTGCATAAGAAAAAATGTGGATCCTTCACTGAATAAAAAGCAGATCAATAGGCCTCTTTCTTGTCTTAGTAAAATTAGTGACGATTTTGTGCTTTATAAACACAGATGGTCTATAGTTAAAAACAATTCTTTCATGAGGTCAGAGAAAGCTCTTGCACCAAAACTCTGTCTGCTAACCAAAACCCAACAAAATAAGCCTATTGTCTGCTTTCTGGGTTCATGACCTCTCCTCAGACATGCACCTCTGTTCCCCCACCTAGACACAGCATTAGTGCCTCACCCTGCTATTTTCAAGAAGCTCAGCAAGATGCTAGCAAAAACAACATTTACCACCACGCTTTGGCTTCAGATGCCCTACAGTACAACAGTCCGAAGTTGTGTAGTCCATATTTTGGTAGTAAAATACCTGTTTTTGGCAAAGTGTGTACATTTTTCAATTTGTTAATGCAGTTGAGGAGCTTCCAGTTCTCAGCTGTGGGCTAAGCTCTGTGTGGATCTATAATCCGCAAGCCTTCCCTCATCACCAGGAGAGGCCATCTTCCATTATAGACACGGAGAACGGAGGCTGGGGTACCACTACAGCAGTTGAAACCTGAAAGATTGCAGCGTTTAATTTTTTTTTTTTTGCAAACATTTAATGTGAAAACTTGCCTGGCAGGTCTCTCCATAGCAGCTGAGGCTTCCTCGCACGTGTCCTGTGCAGTGCTGCCTATATGACAAACTGAACCAGAGACAAATAGGCCAGGAGGTAGCTGAATTACAACTGACATGCTTGATTGAGGCAGCATTTCTAAGCCAAAATATTTTGGTTTTTGCAGCTGAACTACTTCAGTTTTTACACAAAGTCAGGACACCCATTGCTCTGCCTTTTGACTTTCTCTGTCCTCACAGTATCCCAGGAAGTTCACACTTCTGCTGTTTCCTGGTGTGGTACCAGCAGGAAGCCAGCACTGCCAGGCCTGTGACCTGTACAGACAGAACAGCCCTCGACCTGCCCTCTCTTGGTAACAAAAAATACAGCCCAACAGACTTTTCATGTCTAATTCCTTAAAACGGTAACTGAAGATGGAGGCTTTACACCTGTAATGTTTCCTGCAGAGTCCAGAAAAAGACTGTACATATAGACTTGCCAATTTATTTTTTGTTGTCTACTTGAGATGGCTAAGAATTGCACATGCAAGTATTTCTCCATTCTAATTATAATATCAAGTATGTTCACGCACTGGACCAACATAGCTTTCATAGTTGCAAATCATGTTTGCCAGCACATGTAGGTCTTGGTATTGTCATTGTCACATCAAGAATCCAAGTACATACCTCAGTTTTGTAGCTAAGCTTTCTGTGGCGGCTAAATGTTTCTTACACCAAAAACGATGGGCTCAGGAGCAGTTGCCCTAGGCTTGCTTTCCAGCTGCCTTGCAGGAAGCAGTCATCTGCACCCTGCGCAGCAGCTGGGGGCCGTCAGGGGGGCTGGGGCCAGCATCGCAGCTGGAGCCTGGGTGAGCGGGGCTGAGCTCTGCTGGCGCCACATTGCCCCTTGGCGCTGGGCTGCTACCTCTGGCAGTGTCGGCTGGCTAATGCCCAGAAAAACAATGTAAGAAAGTATTGATAGGGAAGGAAGTAAGAATAGAGCGATCTTTCCCTGGCATATCCTCCCAGCTTCTAGAAATCAGCAGTTTAGGGGCTTTCTGGACATCATGTTTAATACTTCTGCTGTCAATCTCGTCAAATTCCTTTCCAAACTATGTATAGGTTGGGTCTCCATTAAGCCCGAGGCAATACGTTCCTCAATTTAATTACACTTTGTGGAAAGAAGTCTTGTTTGTTCCTTCAAACCTGCTACCTGAGAGTTCAGTCCGTGCTTCCTGCCTTCTGCACTGCTACTTGTAATGATAAGTGCTCTCCCTTCACCTT